TTCCAAAATGCCCATCATGCACTCGAGAGAACAGCCAAGAAGGGCTTGGCAGTGGTTCTACAAGTAGTCTAGAGAAATTTTTTAAATATCCCAACTGTTAGTCAAGATTTAGAATAAACTTGAAAATGACTCATAACAGTGCCATCACTAAGCAAATATAAATATTTGTTGAATCAAATTATTGCATTCAATGAAACTGAAGATCACAGGTGTTCAAAGAGGTATTTTAACTTGTGAACTAAATTCCTAATTATTTTCCCATTTGCTACTTAGAAAAATCACAACCAGAGAAGAAACTGCTAATGAACTATTCACTAGTTAAAACGGACTCCTTAAAGAACCCCTCAGCATCTCTATCCAACAAAGGAGTTATAAAATTTAAGGAAAAATAAAACAACAGCTGAAGATCTCAAAAGAACTCAGCCCCAAATATAGTCTGACCCTGGATGAGTCCTGACCCTGTGAATCCCTGGATTTATTTACCCTTACAATGGGAACAGGAGAAGCAGTTATGAGTAATTGCTAATAGAAGCCTATTTGCCTCTGGCAGAAATGCAAATGCTTGTTCATAATGATCATTTTCCCAAACTCCAGTTTACATTTCTCCATTAACATTCCAGTGCCCAACTCCCAGTTCCCAAGATCCTGCGGGTTTGGTTTCTGACTAAAAGACAGAACTGAGTTCGGAGAACCGCTGGAGTCAACTCCACGAAGCAGTAGCTGGCTCCCTTCCTCCCAAAGAAGTCATTATACACTTCTGCACCTCATTTCATTTTTCACTGCAATGACACCCAATCTTTGTGATTAAAAAAACAATGAACCCAAGGACAGCACCCAAAGAACTTGTTTCTCTTGGACCTACCAAAGGATAAAATGTTCTCAATGCCACCTCCTAATGCTTTTCCCAAATGCCCCTTTTAATTGGCTGGTTGACTACGCCGTGGGTGTGTAACTAAGCTGGAAAAGCTGTCCTGACTTCTGAGTACCCTAAGAAGGCAGCAGTGGACAGCCTGGACTGAAACAATGTTAGGGACTGATGGGACCCTGACACTTTGCAAAAAAAAAATTTTCTCCTTGGGGAGACAGGCCTATGATCCCTGCCAGATCTGTGACTCCAGTCAGCTATATAATAAGATTGGCCAATGAAGGTCACAGAACCATTCTGCCAGAGAAGGGGAAAGCAACAAGACTATGATTTTAATTTTTTTTATTCTCACCTGAGGATATGTTCACTGATTTTACAGAGAGAGGAAGGGAGAGAGAGAGAGAGAGAAACATCAATGTGAGAGAGAAACATCGATCAGCTGCCTCTTGTAGGTACCCTGACCAGGGGTTGAACAACAACCCCAGTATGTGCCCTGACCAGGAATCAAACCTGCAGCCTTTTGGTATATGTGACATCGTTCCAACCAACTGAGCCACCTGGCCAGGGCTAGACAAAGGTTTTAATGAAATAATTAAAAGTCATATACTGGTCATGGGTTGTAAAATGTCCAAATATTTCTGTTTACCTCCCTCCAGATGTGTATGTGGGAGTCTAGAGTAAACCTAGGTTATAATATAAATAATTACAATAAATTATAAGTAATTAGCACAGTAGGATGGTTTCTCAGTATCCTCATATGAAAACTCTTAGGGTAAATTGTTACATCCTTATTTTTGTAAAGCAAGTTATTCATCTTTTCCAAAAACTCTTCAAATTTAAAAACTGACTGTTTCTAAAGATCAAACTGAAAGAGAGATCCTTCAAAAGCTACTGTGCCGATGCCCCCGCAATCTGTTCCGTCCTGGGAATCTGGGTGTCTTCAAGTGACTCTTCCACCAAGAAACATAAATCACAACCAGAAAAATCGCGATGCACTCGGGCGCTAAACAGTATTTATTATACCATAAACGGCACTCATTTTTGGCCTTTAATCGCTGTCAATGGTCTAATGTTTATGAGTGATCATTACTGATTTCCAAATGGTAATATATTTCCATTCCGAATAAGCTGGAGTTGACTGTTACCAACTTTAATATTAAGACCAACATGTTATATACTAAATTAGTTCTGAACACATTCCACATCTCAACAATGGTTTGAATAACAAACCTGTTTTCAAATGGAGGCTTTCTTCGCACTTAGTTTTTTTTAAGTTCAATAATAAACGTTCCTTTCATTTGGCTTCCGAGGAAAGGATCCCTCTTCTCAACGATTATAATTTGCTTTAGGAGATCTCATGTGATTTAGAGACAGCTTTCATAGACTAAAACCTCATCATTTATAGTAAGAAAGGGCCTGTTAAAATAAAGAATAATTTTTTTTTTAAGATGAGCATTCCATTAAGGTTTGAGTGTCTAATAATAATTTACTGTAGGTGATTATCTGCCCGATGTAAAACGTTCCATTTCTCCGTTTATCTGACTCATGCTCCTTCTGCCTGAGGAGATTCAGTATCACAAACTGTCATTTTAATTACCAAATCTAAGCAACATGGACCGCTTAACTACGTAGAGGCTTTTAAAAGGTTCTAGCTTCTTTTCCACCCAATTTTGTGAACTTATTGTGTAGGGTGATAACTTTTTTATCTTAGTTTTCATTGTTTGACCTAAGTTCACTTCTGTTAGTGATTTACATCTTAAAACCGCAAACTAACTTTAGTTCCAACCTCTGACTTTCACTAGATTTGAACTTCTTATTCATTGGTTCCATCAAAAGTACTAGTTATCTTTATACAGAAAAAAACAAGTTATAGTTTCATTATGGATGATGGATGCCGAGAACTTACTGCTGGATTTTTTTAAATTAATAATAAAAAAAAAGATTAAGTTCATCCAAGCTAAGATTTTGATCCTGAACATGACTGTTAAAAGCAACAATATGCTTTGAAAGTAGGGTATTTGCAAAACCTTTGCGAAGTTACTAATGGGATTCCCATGATCTAATACATGTAAGGCTTTAACTGTAATTGTAAACCCACCGAAAGCTTTAGATCTGAAAGTATGGACTATTGTAGCCAGTTTTTATGGATATAATTCCACTGGCAAATCCCAGTTTCTGTATTTAAAATCTCGACTAGACCAAAATCACAACATATTTTCAAAAGGATAATGTAAAGCAAGCAAGCGCTGGAATAATAGGGCAAGAACAGCAACCCTCTCCTACAAACCATCAGTGAACATCAGAAGCACAAAAATGAGCAAAACTTTTAGTTCATGATTATGTGCAGTTCACTTTAACAGTCATAAAGCATCACATGAATCATTTTATTTTCCTCTGATTTATTTCCCACACAAGGTTCAATAAAACACAGAATTTAGCCTCAACTGATAACTGGATCACTGCTTTCAGAGGCCATTTATTACTTGTTTTCTGGCATGTTTTCTTCTATGATCCAATTCTGTAACTATTGAGAGTCAAGAAAAGCTGACTTCAAATCAAATGCATGGCACAAAGTCACTAAAAAAACTTGGCAACACTATGCTCTACCCGAGTGTTTAGAAGCTGTTCTGTTTTGTCCAGGTATATAATCTTAGCAGGGTGCAATGAGATTTGTGACTAAAACAGATCCTCTCTTTTGCCTCAAAAGGATTAGAGCTACTGTAGCAAATGATGTATGTTCAAAACCTGATTCAGCCTACCTCCCCTGGCCAATGTCTATGTAGAACATTCATCCAGGGTTTACACACGGCAGGCACACGACTGTAAAAATATCAATATCAAGGATATCTACCTTGTTTCTCAAATGTATTTGTTTCTTGTTTTGCATATTTCTTGATTTTCAAAATCCAGTTTTACAAATTTTGTTAGGGGCATTAGGCCTAATTCCACCTTACAGACATTTATTTTACAAAGTTGTAACTGAATATAATATTCATTTTATAACCACATACATGTAGGGACAACTTGGTTTTAAAAGAATGTTTCTGTATGTACTTCCACACATATTTAGTGACTGTCCTACAGGGACTATCAGTGAAATCAACAGAAAATAAAGGGTTCCAAGCACTGTGCACTGGCAGGTTTGGGCCCGAATGCTCCAGAAACATCTTTCAAAAAACACTGCTAGTTCTTTACTTTTCTTTTTTAATGTAAGTATAATTAAATCAATTTACTTCATGCTGTCCATGCAACAAACATAGCCTCTAAGGTTCTTTTGGTTTGGAAATACCATATTTACACCTTGATTTGAAAGCAGAGTCAATAATTTTTTTGAAAAAATGCTTCAACTTTTGTGTGTGTGTTTTTGTTTTGCTACACTTACTTTTAGATAGTCTAAATTCTCTCCTAATGCACTCAAAATTGTTTTATAAATATCTTTGGATTTATTTCCTACATAAAGCTACAACTTTTTCGGTATATTTAGTAAGTGCTCTTTGTCATCACTACAGATCTTAGCTCTTGTAGAACTCAGATTTGAGTAATATCTTTATTATCATTGTTGTTTAGTTTAGGTTAGTTTAATTTGCACTTAAAACTAACTCCTCAGTTTATGACACAATGTGACATATTACAGAACTATTTTCCCCAAAGGGAGATCCTTTTAAGACAAGTTTAGTGAACACAGGCTTTTGTTGAGAGCCTCCGGATACCGAATTACTTGAAAAATTCCCAGTGAAGACAGGAGGTTGGAGTTAACTCAAGGTGAGAAGCAACACCACTTCCCCAAACAATATTCTAGGCGCTGAACGAGGTCCAGAGCTTTCTGACTGGGAACCCGGGCGGCGCTGGGAGGGAGGAAGCGCTCTCCGGCCCTGGCGGCCCGCTCCAGGGACGCGCTGCCTTCCCTTCTTCATTTCCAACCTAGTGCTGGACCCCTTGACAAGCCCTTCCCAGGCTGCAGACGCCTTTGCAGTGCCTGTCGCTGGCTGGCAAGTCTAGCCCACTGCTAGGGCACAGGAGAGAACTCCTCCGGGCCCTTCCTCTCGCCCTCGGGTGGGAGGGCAGAGGCAGTAAATCGCCGGACAGCGGCGTGAGAGTTACCGCATCCCACCAGTCCCCCAGCGGGGCGCCTTACCGGTACAGGAATGCAGGGGCTTGGGGCGCACGACCAGCGACGGGCACACGGAGTAGAGGGAAAGTTTCTCAAAATAGTCGCAGGTCTCCTTGGAGAGGATCTCGTCGATCATGAAAGTCTTGTAGCGCCGCCTGGCTGCTTTGAGTTGGCCGGGCGAACTCAGCCTCAACTCCGCGTGGCAGTGCATGGTGAGCCGGGCCGCGGGGGGTGGCGCACCCGCGGATCTCTGCCCGGCGCCTCGGCAGCCGGGAGGCGGCGGAGCCCTGGAGGGGCGCGGAGGGGAGTGGGCACCGGACACGCCGGCCGCGTGTCTAGACCCACCCGCAGATCAGCATCTTCGTCGCGCCTTTTTGGGACACCGCAACTGTCAATCAGCGCGCGCTTCCTGCAGGGCCGGGTGCGGAGTCACGCGGAGGGGCGTCGGCGCCCAGCCCGCCTGTGCCTACCCGGCGGGAGCCCGCGCGCCGCGTGCCCGCTTTTCTCCTCGCCTCCTCCCGCCTCTCTCGCTCTTCTGCCAGTCTCTCTATTTTAAGACACTCGCTACGGATGTCCTCCCCGCCCCTCTCCTGGAACGAGCTCCAGGTGTGTGTGTGTCTGTGTGTGTAGAGTGTGCGCGCTCCAGGGTGCGCGCGGTGCGGGGAGCGCGCACCACCCCGCCCTCCGGCCTGGTCTAAACCCGCCGCGGCCCCCCGCCGGTCCCCGCGCACCTCCTTCGCGCGCGTCTCGCCAACCACCTGGCCCGCCTCCGAACGCCGGCAACCCAGCGGACTGGCGCGTCCAGGTCTCTTACTAGAAAGAAGTCGAGTCCTCCCGAGGCCCCCGAGCCATTGCACCAAGGGACCAGTGTGTCTTTCTCCTTCCCTACACGGACCCCCGCTGGCCCTGTCCCGAGGACTGCGGCCGCCTCTCCTGTCCCCTACGCTCGCTGCCCGCGCGCACAGAGCACTGCGCGTTTGCTCCGATTGCAAATTTGACGGCCCCTTGGAGATCCCAAACCATGGACGACCCTTACCCTGTCCGTTATCCCAGTAATAACCTGTAAAAATGCAAGAGTAAACAACAAAAGGGGATGTTCTTTCTCTTTTGTTTCTTTTTTTCTTTTTTAAACTCTTTATATACTGTTACTGTCGCCGGCTCCGGCGGCACTTCCCAGGCGGCACGTCCGCGGCATCTCGCAGCACCGAACACTCTAGGCAAAGCGACTCTTACGCCCCATCCCTCACCACGCGCAGGGATCCAGGAGTCCGGGAGACACATGCTTATTAAGCGGTTGGCCTTCTTTCTCCTGGGCGCCTACCAACAGAGTGCGTTCCAAACCATATCTGTAGGAACTTTTGTTTTCAGTTGTAATCATTGGGAAAGGGACCCCTACCCAGTCTTCCGCTCCGGGGTGGCACCCACTGTCCGCGTCCTGCCACCAGGGCAGTCCGTGGAAACCGCTCCAGGGCGCCGGGTTCCCAAGATTTGTCTCCGAATTGATGTTCGCGGGGCCGAAAGGAAAATGCACGATGGGGAAATAGAGAATTAAAGATACGGATAGTCTTGCCCGAGACCGAGTTTGGGGCTGGTGACATATCCTCACTCAAAATCTGGAAGAGGCCCGAATTGTGACAGGCTCTCCCAGGAGCTGCTTGCCCAGGAGCGAGTCGCTGCGGATCAAGTCGACTCGACCCTACCGCGCGGGCCGGTGGTTCGATTCAGAGGGAAGGGACATAAACGGGGAAACTAATCATTAAGCACTTGGAGAAAACAGTAATAAACCTAATCAGAGCTGAGCAAAATCAAGGCGCTTTGAGGAACTTCATTCCCGAAGTGTCTGTGTTGCCCCTCTGTCCCCTTCTCTCCATTTACAATCTTTTTTCCTTATTCTCTTAATCCGGGCGGAGGCGGCCCCAGGGCTCGCCAGAACTGTGGTCAGGTGCCCCGATGACTGCGCGCGTCCCGCAGCAAGGCCGGGAAGTCACTGCGCTGGGCCCAGGCGCGCCCGGCTCAGATGGCAACCCCCGCGACGAGTCCGCTATCCCGCGCGGGGCGGAGGACCGAACCCGATCAGCCCAGCCTCGCCGTCTGGCTCCAAGACCGAGGGGTTCTCCTGGGCCCAGGAGGAGCAGGGACCCGAGGGGTCCCAGGGGCGCGGCGTTCGCGCCGAAGACAGCCTTAGATAGGGAGTTATATTTGACCCTTGGATGGTGCGGGGCTGTCCACAGCCGCCGAGAAATGAGTGTTTGGCAGGATATGAGCACGGCGTGCTGGGGAATGGGGGTTGGCGACCCCACCGGCTGCGCGGACTTCGGGGCAGCTCGAATACTTGCGGGCGGGCACCTGGGCAACAGACTCTCCATCCCTCCTGGCGACCCTGGCAAGGGACTATCATCACCTGTTTGGACTCTTCTCAGGCCCTGCCGTGCGCTCACGTAACGCGCGCCCTCCGAGTTGTTCTCGCGGGCCCTGTCCTTGCACGGCCCTTCTTTCCCTAACCTCTTCCCCATCCTCCAGACTATTTTACCCTCTCGGGCTCTTCCCATTCCTTCGCCGCCGCTAACCCCTTCCCAAGGTTCCCTCCCGGTCTCCCACTGTTCGCGGCACAAAGCCCTCTTCTTTATCCAAATTCCCCATCTCTTTCCTCTTCTGCCCTTGCTTCTCTTCTACCCCCCATTTTCCATTCCCATTTCTCTTTTTCTTTCTCTTCCTTCTTTTGGTCATTTTCCTCTTCCTCTCCTTCCCTCTCTTCAAGCGGGGATCTGGAGCTGCGCTGTCGTGTCCCTGCGTCGTGGCGCTCCCCCACGGAAGGCTGCAGGCTGCCCACCACAGAGGACGTGGCAGGAGCTCCAGCCCCTTGGCCCGGCGGGCATCCGTGCCGCCGCCGAGGGCTGGCGGTGCCTCCAGCCCTCTCCCTCCTCCCCGCTTCCACTCGACCACAGGCTCACAATTAGTCCAGATTTTCCTGCAGACTGGTCTTTTGATTTTCAACCTGCAGTGTTTAAAGAAGTAAAACATTTCGATCCAACAAATTATTTTATTTTCCATCTTTTCTATTTTCTACCACACAGGCAAAATATCTCAGAGCGGGGCTGAGGGCATAAGTCCCCAGGTGTAGTGGGGGAGACAGATTCCAGATCCTGGAGTCTAGGAGTCTGTCGTTTATAGTCAAAGCTGAGCCTCAGTTTTTTCATTTGTAAATGACAATCATAATACCTACTTCACAAGGTTGGCCTTTCATAATCTATGCCTTTACACAAGCAGTTCCCTTTATGGGAATGCCCTTGGCACCCCACCCCCTCCCTCCTTCTTAGCCTGAAAAACTAGTTCAAGACCCATCTCAAATGTCACCTCTGTGAAACGTTTCCCGGCTCCCCAAAGCTGTGATTCCTACCTCTATCTTAATGGTTCCTTTACTGTCCTTTTGCATGTATATTTCATCCACTGGACAATGAACTCCTGGTGAGCCAATTCCTTGTATGTTACTATTCATCTTGTATCACCAACACCAGCATGCACCTGGCACAAAGTAGGTTCTCAGGAAATGTGTCATGAATGAATGAATGCATGAAAGCTGGGACAATTATATAAGACGCAAGCACACAATGGGACTTCAAATCTTAACTAATTGTACTGAATTTCTTTTTCCTTAAATGAGTCTCTCCTCTCCTCTCTCCTTCCTTGATATTGTAGTTTTGGTTTTTTCTTTCTTTCTTTTTTTTTTTTTTTTTAGCAATAGCATCCAGCACAGTTCCTGTTTTGCTCCTATCTCCCTCTTTTCACTCCCTCTCTCCTGTCTCAGACTGTAAAGGACTTCTTCTGTGGGAGGAAGCACACCCCAGCTGTCAATCACGACTTGGGGCTTTGGTCAGGAAGAGTCAGGGGTTTAGTTTCCAACATTAATGAGGTGGCTGGAACAGCAAACATCTGCCAAAGGGACTCAAACCTTTCCAGCTGCTGGAGACCCACAGACACTTCCCAGCCTCCTGTGACTGTACCCAGGCAGTGTCTGTCCCTGTATCAGGGAGGAACACACGAAGAGGAACAGTTCCATTTGTACCCAGCTGCTTAGGCAGCATGGCAGGGAATACAAATTCACACCCTCCCGGAGGCTTCAGGAGATCATGCCCCCTTCCAATCTGGCACCTGATTCCTGGAGGGCCCAGCCGGAAAGAAGGGGGCAAAAACACCTTTGCAAAGTTAGGAGGCTCTGACGACTAGAAACCAAAGAATCCCTTTTCTCATTTCAGCTCACACCCAGTATCCCCACTCAACTAGAACAAAATGTTTTTGTTTTTTTTTCTTTTTTTTTTTTTTAGCCTCACCTGAGGATATTTTTCTATTTTTTGTTCAGGTAGAGTGGGAGGGGGAGAGAGGAAGAGAGAGAGAAACATCGATATGAAAGGGACACATCGAGTGGCTGCCACCCGCACGACCAACCAGGGCCGGGGACACACTGCAACCGAGGTACATGCCCTTAGCGGGAACCGAACCCGGGTCTCTCGGGACCGCAGGCCAACGCTCTAACTGCTGAGCCAAACCGGCCAGGGCACAAAATGTTTTTTTAAAGTCATAGAGTAGCGTTTAAATTGCAACTAGAACCTAACCCTAGAAGAACTTGCCTGATTTTTACTTTAACTGTCCTTTTATAATCTTGGGCTATTTGTCCATGTAGATATTCAGAAGCAGCCAGGACATATCTTAAAAACACACTACTTCATTCCCAACCACCTTTTCTCCAAAACGGGGGAGGGAGGAACAAAAGCACTTCTTACATTCTAGTAAAGTGTACTTAGTAACTTGTATTTCAGTGGCTAAGTTTTGAAATAGTTTCAGGCATGTAAAAGCAAAATAGGGGAAGCCTTGTAAGTTAATATTCCCCTGGGCCCCAGGGCCATGCCAAAGCTGCTGTCTGCAGAGCCGAGCACGGCAGCCTTGCATAACAGAAAGTTAAAGGAGGTGTACAAGGAGACCAGCTTATTTTTAATGATGATATTAATTTACAAAAACTGCTCTCATACATTGTAAGGCATCTTTTTAAGAGAGGGCGCACATGCAGTCCACTTGACAAATGGACTTGGAAAGGACTGAATAATCCTTGTATCCTTTTTCACAACATCTTTCTGGAGGAAAAATGTAAACTGAAAACAAACAAACAAACAAACAAACTAAGACAACAGCTGTATATACAGAGCACCAAACATTACATGAAGAGTGAAAATGCAGTAAATCATCCAAATGGATCAAGTTTTTAGAAGCTTGTTATACAGATTAAAATGGTTTGTTTTGCTCATTGTTTCCCCTTTTTAAATTGTCTGTCATAACATCAAATAGCCCCATTTCTGCCAATAGCCTGTGTGCCTCAATTATCCCAAAGATAGAATCAGGAAAATAAAATGGAATCTCTTCTAT